TTCGAACCTAATTTTAATCATGAACAAAGAAAGAAAATATTGCAAATATGCGTAATATCGAAAGGAGGATAACCGTATAACAACCAGTTTTATGCTGCTTCAACTACGGCTATCAACCCACGAATCTTTAATCTTCATCGAAATTAAGATATTTCTTAGTTTTATTTAAATTTGTATCTCGAACTGGGTTGTGTATCTTTTTGTCAGATATCGAGATCAGGAACTTGACATGAAGGATGTATTACTTAGTTTTGTATCTATATAAATATGAAAGTTTACGTCAGTGACATCTAGGGAAATAAGAGGACAGTTTCATCTATTTAAGTATGTTAACATGTAGAAGAGTATTGACTGTTGTTCTACGTAGTATTTTACCTATTGTGTATGAAAGCACTAGTATAAAAAGTTAAATATTGCCATGCATAAAATTTTCAGGAGACGCTTTAGTCTCTCGTCCTTTTTCAGAACTGACAACATATTGAAAATTGAAGATATAAAGTACGGTTTTTGTTTGTACTTAAGCACAAAGCTGCACAATGGGCTAGCTGTTTCTAGAGTTGTAAATCCACAGACATACCGCTGTGCCACTGAAAGTACGGAATATAATACATAAAAACACAGAAAATGTAAAACAGACTAGTGAACACGAGCGATAGTATCTAGGTAAAATGTTAAAAATGCAATACCTTGTTATGTAAAAAGTTTTCAATAAGGTATAGATATAGGATTTATTGTGTGAAAAAATAAATAAAACAAATATTGTCAAATTCACAAACATTATGTAGATATGTAAAACTTTACTGGAAAATATCTGGTACTTTTAATCTGAAAGCACATTATGCGACATACCATAACCATTCGTAAGTTAGAATTGTTGAGCAGAGGTACAAGAACCAATCAGTAGCACCTGCTACGTCCATGGCTACTCTTAATACCTGCTACGTCCATGGCTACTCTCAATTAACCAAACAGCCGGATCTCTTTTATAACGTGCCCACAAGAGAAAGCATCGAGCGTGTTCAGTGGCATATTGCGGGCTACAACTTTGGACCTTTCGATCCGCTGCCCAGCACGCTAACCAACATGTTATGGTGGAATAATAAATATTAATTCAATTCGCTCCTTCACAGTCCATAGAAATTGCTTCATGGCGGACATAAATTCTCTTTATACACCCATTTCACACAGTGAAAGACTTCTCCCTACACAAACACACACGCTTATCTGTTTATTTGGAATACGCTTTATTTTATCGAAAATAATTATAGACAAACCTATGATGTTGCTTTGAGAACAAATATTAATCAAGCCTGTGAAAATGTAATTGTTGTTGTTGTTGTGTATGTTAACAAACAAATTTTCGAGTAGAAAATAACTGATTTTTAAATATTTTTACCAAAAACAAATTATCTGAAATCTAGTGTCGATACTTTCTCTATAAGTTGCCATAAAACCTCACGAGCCATCCTCATCCTTTCGCACAATTCTAAGAGAACCAACAAACACACAATCGCATACCATCCTTCTAGTAAAAAGATAAAAATGTATTCATAGAAAATTGTAAATTATTCACATGAGATCCTAGCACAAACTTTGTTCTTAGTGACTAACCATTGGTATCCTATAGGCAAGAAACGAGTACTTGCAGTGTATTGGTACACAATACATTAAAAGATGATGTCCATATCAAAAACTTGTACTTGGTACCCAACACTGTGAATATCCCACGTGCATCATAATGTGTGAATATGTAGGCTATAACAGATTGGTTTGTTTTGAATTTCGCGCAAAGCTACACGAGAGCTTTCTGCGCTATCCATCTCTAATTTAGCAGACTAGATGGAAGACAAATAGCCAACACCACCCACCGCCAACTCTTGGGCTACTCTTTACCAAATAATAATGGGGTTGACCGTCACATTGTAATGTCCCCATGGCTGAAAGAACAAGCATGTTTGGTGATGGAGATTCGAACCCGCGACCCCCAGATTGCGAGTCGAGAACCCTAACCATCAGGCCATGTCAGGCCGGCTCCAGTAGATAAGTAAATTGTCCCATTTTGCTTTTAATATAAGACAATTCTTCATCTCGATATTAAAGTGTCTTACATGCTGTCTGATACGCAAGTAAAGTGGACAGCTGTACATTGAACAAACAAGCTGCTACTACAGTGATTCAATTTGTGAATCAAATAATCAAACTAAACAAAGACCACTTTTGTGGCCGCCATTTAAATATTTTAGAACATGACGTTAATATCTTCTTTGTAACTGGAATCAAGCACACATCAGCAGATGTCACCGAGAGAGAGGACACCTTAGAACAACGATCAATGTATAAGTTTTCGGATTCTCCAACTGAAGTGATTGAAATGAACGCTTCCGTTTCCATTAAAATTAACATATTCTAGTATTTATAGTTACTATTCACGTATCTGCAATAAGTTCAAATTTCTATTCAATATTTAATTTACTTTAATTAGTTTTCCGGCAACTAATTTTGAATTCAATCTCACTGAAAGTTAGTAGAATTGAAGTTTTCACCTTTTACCTGGCACTGTATCTAGTGTTGCGCTGAATTCATTGGCCTGTTCATCATTGCTTAAAATATCAATTCTAGTGACATTCTGAAAGTTGTAATGCCAAATCTCATGCATGACCATACGTTTCACGAAATTCTATTTCTTTTCACGGCCCAAGTTGCAAATCTCACTCTAGACCTTAATTATCTCATACATTATAGAGTCTTGTGGTCAATAAAACGTGATTATTATGGCTGGCTCTTTCCTAGTGATCAGTTATTTTCCAAGATTCTTTCTGAATGACATTGCAAGCATTTCTAAATGATTCACCCTAGTATTAAGTTTTATTATCTCTGAGTATATTTTCAAGATTTCTGTATGGGCATTGGTGCCACTTTGTATCACAAAACATGTCTCTGTTTTTCAAGTATATTAAACTCTATAGTCTTTACACTGCATCTCTTTAATCCTTCAAAATCTACCAGTATGCATCATTTAGTTTCATAGAAAAAAGGGTTACTGGAGGAAGGGTGTGTGTGTGTGTATGAGAGGAAGCATGCTATCAGATCTCTCTAGACAAACGCCGCGAATACACAAGAAACTTTGGTAGTTAACAAACTATATTATTTGAATTTTATAAAGAAATGCGGCAGCTCGAAACGTCACCCAACAAACAGTTTTTACTAAAAATATTTCACCTTTTAAGTCTTTGGCCGTTGGTATATTAGTAAAGTAAGTTCATTAACCTTGTGAAAATTGAAGTTCATTGGCGAACAAAATGAAGTTTATTTAAAAGTAAACCTAATATCCGTTAGCTGTTTTTGTGGGTTAATAAAGAGATATTTGTCTCGAACTTAATCTTAAAAAACTTAACTGCTTCTTTATAAAAATCAGTCACTTTTTAAAAAATCAATTAATTTTTTTGCATAGATGCAGAGAGGCTCTACGTCTTATATTTCCGCTTTTTCAACTCTCCAACATAACACTTATATTGCTTCCTAGTGGCTCACCGGTAAGTCTGAGAGCTCACATAGCTAAAAACCGGGTGTCGATACTTGTGGTGGGCACAGCATAGATAACCCATTGTTAGGAGTTTTAATTAAGAACAAACAAACAGTTATATTATCTGTTTAGCTAAAGTCTTAAGATAGCGATGTTTTAATGAGACAGAAAACGTGTTTCAATTGAATATTTCAATAAAATCGAACTTTAATCAACAAGAGAGAGTTGTTGTTCACGAGTTTTCAGTTTCATAGTATATATTATGGGTTGAAATCATATATATAAACGTTAGGTGAAATGAAAAATGTTTATTTCCAGATAAAAAGTAACTTATATCAGTATTAGCAGAAGAACTACTGAGAGACTTAGGGAAAAAACATTTGGTAGTAAAGAAAGACACCTTTACATTTCTGGAATTACTTGAAAACTTTATCAATAATAAGACAGAATAAAAGACAATGATTAATATATTTAATAAAAACTATCATTCATAAGAAGGGTTAAATTTTCGATATCAAGCTTACCGACAACATTTAGTCGTATAAGAAGGGTTAAGCTTTTGATATTAAAATTACCGACAACATGTATTCGTATAAGAAGGGTTAAGTTTTCGATATTAAACTTACCGACAACATTTAGTCGTATAAGAAGGGTTAAGTTTTTGATATTAAACTTACCGACAACATTTAGTCGTATAAGAAGGGTTAAGTTTTTGATATTAAACTTACCGACAACATTTAGTCGTATAAGAAGTGTTAAGTTCTCGATATTAAACTTACCGACAACATTTAGTCGTATAAGAAGGGTTAAGTTTTTGATATTAAACATTCAGTCGTATAAAAAGGTTTAAGTTTTCGATATTAAACTTACCGACAACATTTAGTCGAATAAAAAGAATTAAGTTTTCGATATGAAACTTACCGACAACATTTAGTCGTATAAAAAGGGTTAAGTTTTCGATATTAAACTTACCGACAACATTTAGTCGTATAAAAAGGGTTAAGTTTTCGACATTAAACTTATTGACAACATTTAGTCGTATAAAAAGGGTTAAGTTTTCGATATGAAACTTACCGACAACATTTAGTCGTATAAAAAGGGTTAAGTTTTCGATATTAAACTTACTGACAACATTTAGTCGTATAAAAAGGGTTAAGTTTTCGATATTAAACCTACCGACAACATTTAGTCGTATAAAAAGGGTTAAGTTTTCGATATGAAACTCACCGACAACATTTAGTCGTATAAAAGGGTTAAGTTTTCGATATGAAACTCAGCGACAACATTTAGTCGTAAAAAAGGGTTAAGTTTTCGATATTAAACTTACTGACAACATTTAGTCGTATAAAAGGGTTAAGTTTTCGATATTAAACTCACCGACAACATTTAGTCGTATAAAAGGGTTAAGTTTTCGATATTAAACTCACCGACAACATTTAGTCGTATAAAAGGGTTAAGTTTTCGATATGAAACTTACCGACAATATTTAGTCGTATGGGAAGACTAATCTTCGGTTCAGAGCTGACTTGACATTCGTAAATTCCTCCATCCTTTTTTTGAGTGTATTGAATCTTCAGGGTCCAATCATCCGAGTCGTCCAGGTGTAGGGAAGTGAACCTCTGGTCACTAGTATAAGTATATCGGCCCACGGTTAGTATGTGGAGGTCCTTTTGTCGCACCCATGACACCTGCAGAGAAAGATTGGTATAAGGTAGGGGTACGTATCTCATCATAGTAGTTTAAATATTGATACCGCGATACGATACGTATCTAGATACAGAAGTTTTACCAACGGTTTGTTACAAAGTTTGACAGTCTTGTATGTAATTTATTACTTATATTACTAACATTATCTTATTCAGGTACTTCACATTTTACAGTGATTTTTTCAAAATTTCACGTTTAATCAACTAAATGTCAGCTGGCATTATATCCGTCTATTTATTTTGTTATTGTTAATTTGTTATGTTACTTTTCATGTAATGTTTTTGATAAAAGAAATGAAGATAACATGTAGTACTCAATACTCATCTTTCTTTATTGAATCATTAATTTGTAGCAAAAATAAGTACAAAACATTTGTGTTTGTATGTATATCTATATATATATATATATACATGGCAAGAGATTTTACATAATATTTAATTTATATATTGCATTTATAGGCTGACACAGCGTCATCAAGTTGGTTTAATAATCAGCTTACTTTGACCTACAGGACAGAACTATAAGGTCAGTGTGAGGGGCAAAGATAAGGACAGGGATTAACTGTTGAGAAGACGAAATTCCACAATCAAACTATTTATTTTACTGTACACATTGATAGCACTACATCAACAGCTCAGTTGATCGGGGCAGCATCGCAACAAATGTATATTTACATTCACTAACTCAAAGATGTTTTACAGTAGGTGTTACAGCATCCTCTCCAGATTTATCCCAAGTCACGTGAGCTGAAAAGTCAAGCAGAAGTTCAAGTATAACTTTACTAATTTTGAATCACAGACCAGATGGAAGGCAGTAAGCCAGTTAGCAGTACCCGCTGCCACAAAGGTATTGTCTGAATTGAACCAAATAATGGGATTGTCTATCACTCTTCTAATGCACCCAAAACTCAAGGGGTGGAGCGTGTTCAACAACATAGCGGTGCGAACCTTGAAACTTTCGACCCCTGCTCATTACGCTAACAACTAGATGAACTTTAGCGAAACGAGATATTATAACGAAAATAAAATAAAATATGCTTTTTACTTCTAGCAAATAACAGTAAATTTACGAAACACGACAGTCAACACGTGAAGATATGCGTCAAACAAATGTGAAGAAATGTGAAATTCTATGGTATGAATCAAAACTTACTCATTTTCATTTGTTTGCGCAAGCCAGATGGTTAGGGCACTAGACTCACAAAGAGTAGCTCAAGAGTTGGCGGTGGTTGGTGTTGACTAGCTGCCTTCTCTGTAGTCTACCACTTTAAAACTAGGAACGACTAGTGCAAATAGCCCTCGAGTATCTTTGGGCGAAGTTCAACAAACAAACAGGAACTTGTCTAAGGCATTCTTTTTGAAACGGCGCGAGTAGAAAAATGTACAGAGAGAGACTTATTTAGCCATCTTTTTTTGGTTTTTTAAAATTTTTGAGCAAGATCTATCTATACTTATAGCTATCTTTAATTTTGAAAAATATAGAAATTATATTTTAGTTGTTGTTTTCTTGTAACAGGTAATATCATTTTATAGTCAGTATCCACACCTGACGCCTGGATAGGCAGAGGGAGTACGCTTTCTTTTTTAAAAGGTGTTTTCTATAAAAACAAACAATGAAACGCAACATAGCATATCATTACAAAGAGCTGAGTTTTCTTTAGTATTATTAGGTATTTGTGTATTTGTTTGTGCCAGAGCTACTAAGACTATCTGCCGCCGTTTTTAATTTTGAGTTGCTAACCAGAGGGAATAGAACCGGCTGACAGTACCTACCGCCAACTGTTGGGCTAGTCTTTAGCAACGATTAGTGGAATTGACCATCACATCATAAAGCTCCCACTGTTGAAAGGGCGAGCATGTTTGGCACATGGTTTCGATCTCGCGACCAACACATTATGAGTCGAGCGCCCTAACTACCAGACCATGCCAGGCCTTTTAGTACCAAATGAACAATTACAAAAAGTATTTCAAAAAAAAAGATTTAAGTATTAACTAAAATAGGATTATACAAGTCGAGATTGCGTGATCTATTGGTTAGTGTGTCTGGAGTATGAATACGAAGATTCGTGGTTCATGACCTGTTGGGGTTATAGGTGCGCTATATGAGTGACGTCTCAAATTCTAACTAGCGCCTCTCACTCTAGCCTATTATTTCAAAATTAGGGCTGACTCTGTTCTTTTTGTGTAGCTTTGAAGGAAATTCTAAAACAAACAAGCAAAATACAATTCAAGAAAGCTTCCAGGAATATTTATTGCCATAAATGGAAAAGTCTGTTAACAAGTTTTTTTTATTTATCGACATACATTTCCTTTCTTTTCTTGACCTGAACTTGTATTTTTTACTCTAATGAAGGTACTTCCATATCATTTCCTATAATTAACTCTTTACTTTCTATATAACATTCTATATAACTCCTTATCCCTAGACATAAACCTTCTAAGTTTAATGCAAGTCGAAATTTTGTTTCACATTTTCTAAAACACCTTACAGGTATGAGTGGATTCAAGCATGGTATCTCGCTCAACCTATTGGCTATTTTTCCCTATTCTAAGCTAATAATGGTAGTTTGAGACAATAATGTTATCACGTCTAAACTCTTCACTGACGAGCCCTCTAACAGGCACCTTAGTAGGCTGAAGGCTCGGCCTCCATGCGATGTCTTGATGTATGAATAATCAGCTGAGTATGGGAATCGATGAAAAATACATTAAAAGGAAATTATTACTTGTTCCGACAGACGTATACCAGTGCAGACAGACGGAGTCTTAGAGGAATATGTGATCGATAAAAGAAATTCTTTTCAGAATACAAGAAGTGCTACTCGTGCAAATCGCGTGTAAAACCGTGAGTGAAAAATTAGGATTCTTACAAAAAAAAGATGTTCCAAGAAGATCAAGATCTGCATTTTTCTTTTCTTTTTTGTAATGTTATTCCTTTAAAACAAAGTGAGCAACATTGTATTACAATTTATAAAAGGGCACCTACTACAACGAACGTTAGTGGACCCCTCGAGAGACGGTTGAAACTGGAGAAGTTATTATTACCACTGGATGAGTGGATTTCTCCAGATTGTGAAATACAATAATCAAACCGACAGCAGTATACTGTAGAAACATAAAACAATTCAGTGTTTTTCCGATTTGATGTAGCGATTTATTTTCCTGGAAATACACCATGAGCAATTAGTGGTAAAGATAGGAACAAATATTTAGTTATTTATAAAATGCATTCTCACTTTACAAAATAGCATAGTTAAAAAATAATAATAACATAATTGAGGCTGTAATTAAAAACACGTTTAGCCTGATTGACAATGAAAAGACATGGAGTATTTTGAATAGCCTTTACTTGGGTGATTCGCCCGGTACTGAAGTGGAGAAGTTACTGCAGCTCAGTATCTACTAAACTCTGGTGAATAATTTCAAGATATAACAAATGATGGTTTTGCGTGTACTATGAAATACATCGGGTGTACAAAGCTGACGTAACTTGCCTATTTGGAGCTCTGAAAAAACGTTATGTAAGACCTGCATACAAGATATATCTCGAATCGATACGATTATGGGACTTCGTATAGAAATTAACTTACGTTGTTGTTGATTTACGACTGGATATACCTTACATATATATATATTACACGACAAAGCCCAATGACTAAATAAGACGCACGTCTTGTAACTGAGACTGTCGACAATATTCAACATTTTATGATTTTATATAAATATCCGAATAGCTATTGGAGGGTTTTTAGTTGGTTGCATCATAGCCTTTTTACTATTAATATAATAACCAAAAATACTCACACGTACGATAGAGACGTACAAAACAGACACATGCAAAGCTAATTTTTACCAACACCCAATTTCAGTTTTGTCTGTATTTAGCATATCATAAAACATACACGTTACAGATTAGGTGAAACACAGACGAATTATAAATCAACTGCTTTTTTCGTTTTTTCTATGGTGATGAAGACAAATACCTGTAATTATGAAGTCATATTTGTTTGTATTTTTATGGTTAACAGTAATCACTTTGTTGATATGGCGCATACAGAAAAACTTCTAGGATTAGAATGGTAATTTCATAGTAATACATTATTATTTGTTGAATATGTATGTATACATTTTATAGATATGGAAATACAAGCAAAACAGAGTATTTAATGTTGGTTTATCTCACAATATTTCGTGACATATAATATTGTAGTTTAGTGATAAATTTCAAATGTTGCAAAGATGTAGAGGGACTACAATAGGAAAAGTACCGTTTCCCAAATGTTGCAAAAATACAGAGGGACTACAAAAGGAAGAGTACCGTTTCCCAAATGTTGCAAAGATGTAGAGGGACTACAAAAGGAAGAGTACCGTTTCCCAAATGTTGCAAAGATGTAGAGGGACTACAATAGGAAAAGTACTGTTTTCCAAATGTTGCAAAAATATAGAGAGACTACAAAAGGAAGAGTACCGTTTCCCAAATGTTGCAAAGATGTAGAAAGACTACAAAAGGAAGAGTACAGTTTCCCAAATGTTGCAAAGATGTAGAGGGACTACAATAGGAAAAGTACCGTTTCCCAAATGTTGCAAAGATGTAGAGGGACTACAAAAGGAAGAGCATAGTTTCCCAAATGTTGCAAAGATGTAGAGGGACTACAAAAAATTAGATTATCGTATTTTGTTATCGTATCAGAGGTAGAATATTCAAAAGTGGTTCTTTATTACAGCAGATTTGGTGAAATATATCATTAGATTGGAATGTTTGAACTGGCATAGCGAAAATCCCCGCGTACCAATATAATAGAAGAAACGGTATACTAACAGATTGGAAAGGCAGACACTGTGTAACTAATTACAGTGGAAATGATATTACTTTAATTAACAAGCTGTAAAATAACACACCTGTTTCAGTGAAACGGAAGTGTTAAGAAAAAATATTAAGTGAATGTACTGAAAAAAGAAAACTGTCGAAGAAATATTATGGA